GAAAAAAATTAACTCTTCAAAATTCCTGTCATTTGTAGTATTATCACTGTCATATCATGATGATATGATAGATATGATAGTGATATGATGACTTGCCTCCTTCATTTCATTCAAAAATTTAAAAAAATTGTGTAGAAAAAAGATTCATTAAGATCTCCCCAATTATATACATATTGTTATGTTTTGTCAAGCATAAGATCTCATATCTGCATCATATTACTGTCATCATGATATTATCAGTATGGTATAGTGATAATATCATAATATGACTATGACTGTGATATGATTTACATTATTAATTAAGATCTACATAATGACATTTATTTTGTTATGTTTTGACAAAAATAAGACCTCATAACGATATCATATCAGCGACATATCATAATATTATCACTATATCGTAATGATAATACCATGATGTAACACTGATATGAAGTCATCAAATTATTTTGTCAAACATAAGAAAAGATAACAACATTATATTACTATTATATCAACATCATATCACTAGCATATTAACAACATGCCATTGTGATATCATCCCACTGTTACTGTTAAATATCGTGATATGACAGTAGTATGATGACATAAAAAATGTTTGCTCAAAACAATATCAAAATGGATATCATCGTGAATGGTACAAAAAAACATGATTTATGTGCAAGAATTTTTGAAATTCGATGTAAAATAATGCGCTATTGTCAGTTGAATATTGTAAGAAATTTGAAAATGACTTGGGAATTCGCATCAGTCCCCCCTCCGAATTCGGGCAGGTAGGTAGCAAATCCGAGCAGCCCCCTTATTTCCGTCCTTACCCCTTTATGATGTGGAACATTGGACCTTACCTTCCCACATATCAAGTATTAGCAGGACGCCAGGACCGTAGCCAAGATTTCGTCCAAGATGAGCCCATTTAGAAAAAATACACTTGAATTAATTTGTTAAGTTTTTTAATCATTCATGACATAATTTTATATTTAAAATAAATTATTAAATGAAAATACATTAGTACTCAAAACCATCAACAATGTCACTCTATGTACCAAACAATTATTCATAGTTTAGTTAGCTGTTCGTTTTCGAATTGTGTTCATTGTCAGAATCATTTAGAATCAATAACTCGAGTTGTTGAGAGAGAATTAATTATAAATTTTATGTCAAATAATTATTCATGATTTAGTTAGTTGTTCTCTTTCCGATTGTGTTCTTTTCAATAACTATTTGGTATGAATAAGAAGAAACAAGTAAAAACAATGGCATTGTTCACGGTTACTCCGTCGTCTCGCATATACAAAAGAAGAAGAATTAAAGGAAGCAACTCCGCAAAAAAGTTAATAATAGCCCAAAAGATACACCGGCGAAGATCCTCGATCCAGCAATACAAAACAAAAATTCATAACAATTAGTAAATTACTTGAAACAAAGGCGAGCCCTAAGCTAGTAATAATTCACATTGGTCGCTTCATCCAGCAGTAGCCAATTCGACATAATTAGAGCTGTCAATTTGATTTTGTTTGGTTTGGTTAACCAAACCATTAAGTATGAAAAACTAAAACCAAAAATTAAATCCTCAAAAACCAAAACCATTAAGGCCCTTATTGGTTTTCGATTGACAAAAACCAATAAGGGCTTTAATGGTTTTGGTTTGGATAACCAAAAAACCACCATGTACTCATACACTCATAATAATGGTAAATAGACATTACAAATTATTGGTTGGCATGCGTGTCAAAAGAAACAAAAAAAAAAATATTTGTTTATAAATAATTTTATTTTTATTGGTTTCTTAATGATTTCTACTGGTTTTTCGGTTTTAACCAAACCAAAACCATTAAGTTGCTTATTGGTTTAAAAAAACCGAAACCATTAGCTTTCCAATTGGTTTGGTTTCGGTTAAAACCGAAAAACCAAAACCAAATGGACAGCCCTAGATATAAGAGAGGAATAGACGAGTGAGAGGCTTATTCTACCAGTTAGTGTGGTTGGATGTGAATGGGCGGTGCTCGATTGGCCCCCAGTCCCACTGTATGTGGCTATCCGCTATAGTTAAGGGTCGACGATGAACAGTTGAAAGAACGGAAATAAAAATGAAAAGTATTTTTTCTTGTAATTGTGTTGTATTATTAAGGATCGAGCTTGATAAAGAGGGATTGTTTGAGTCATCGATGGTAGATTTAGTACCTCTTTGGAAAGGCATTCGTTGGTGTGTTACGAAAAGGCTAACTTCGGCGTATACTCCAGGGTATGTCAAGGTAATTATTGACAAAGTTAATGCTAGATGTTTGACCGATGCTAAAAGGGTGCGCTTCTTTGAGAAATCCAGACTTTGTGGTAGGAGTACCCAACGATTCGTACAGTGCATTAGTAGAAAGAACAATAGAGTAGTCTGTCTGGTAGCAAAAAAAAAAAAAAAAGCTCTCGTTCTATCGTCTAGTGATGTACTAGGTTTTGATTTTTGCGCTAGGCTCCGTTCGGAGTTGTAAACATTCGATCTATACTTTCTTGGTAATGCAAGCTATCTTTGGTTTAAGAAAAAAACTTGATAAAGATCTCTGAAGTACTCCATACACGGTATCCTCATATACATTCCATGTACTCAATTGCCACACCATAAATCTGCTACCTAACATCCATATTCGATCTATTTTCTATTACATTATTACAGTTCATTACTAGGTATCAAAACATTAAAACTGGAATATGCAAACTGAACAACAAATGGTTCATTATCCAAGCATTACCCTGAAATATCAACTCTTACTTGACCCAATACACTGTAACAACATTTTCAAGATAAGGGCGATATAAGTTTGTTTTCATTATAATGTACTATTTGAGGAACTCAAACATGAGACTTCTAGATTCAAGATTAATAATAGTACTACTAGACCAAATCTTCGTTGACAACTCTAAAGATCTTTTCACATCTTTCCTTCGAATAAAAGGAAGAGATATCAACAACATAGACTTCTAGCAAACCTTATAGCCTTTCATCCCTGTCTGACAATTCCACATATTCTGGTTAGTGTATATGAGGTAATATTCTTGTAAGCACAACCACAAAGTATGGCACTCATATGATATTCGATGGCTCCAAGTGTGATTGGTTATGATGGTGTTTCATTAATCATGTCTCTCTGTATGGCATGTGTGTTTTTGTTTTCTTTTGGTGCATGACCATGAACACCTACCTGGACATGCTTAGTAGGGAGCAGAAGAGGACTTTGCGGGAACTCAAAACCTGCGTCTTCTTTGCGCATACTCACCTCGACTTCGAAGTTTTTGAGGAGCTGGGTGCTCGAGAGGCGATGAAGATCGCTGTTCGCACCCACTCCTGGCGACGCCTCCTTTGCCTCAGTGAGCCGACAAGGAGCTCGTCTGGGAGTTCTACGCCACCTTCATCCACTACCCGGCGCACGCAGGCACGCACGGGAATGCCATCCACTTCGCTTTTGGCGGGGAGTCTCACTCCCTCAGTTATGATGACTTCGCTGGAGCTCTGAAGCTTCTCCCGCCCTATGCCTGCACCCTTGCCATCGAGGAAGCTGACACCCCTGACTTCCATGACCGAAGGTTCTTCGAGAGGATCTGTCTTCCGGAGTTCGCGGGCTCCGCGTTCCTCCCTAGCCAGGCCACAGTGACTCAGCTTCGCTCTGAATGGTGCATCCTCAACCAGTTGTTGGGCAAGTCTTATGCCCCCAATGCAGGCTCTGCTAGTCATCTCCAGCTCTGGACTTTATCCTTCCTCCACTTGATGAGTCGTGAGGAGGACAACATGCACTTGGCCTCTGTCATCGCAGGAAGGTCGCTAAGGTTGCTACCTGTGTTCGTGCTCTTGCTTGTGGCCCGGTGATCACTGTTGAGGCCTGGTACTACGACATCGATCTCACCGGTTTCACCATGGTTCAATCTCCCAAACCATTCAGCCACGACACTCTTTGGCGCCAACTCTTACTCGAGCACGAGGGGAAAAGTGACGTGGATCAAGGGGCTTCCTCGCCATCCACTTCGTGACCCATATGTTGGTAATGATACCATACCTCACCGTGGGCCACGTCGCCCAGGTCGTCGTGCCGCTACCCCTGTCAGCACTTCTGCTGAGTCTTCTATTGGGCCTTCTACCGCTCCCTTTATGACCATTGCTGACCAGCTGGAGGCCATTGCTCGTCATAACGAGCTCATTCTTGTTGGCCAGGCGTACCTCAACACCCTCCTCGACCGTGAGCGCAAGGGTCGCCTCATCATTTCAGCCCAGCACTACATGTTGCACTTCTCGGATATGAACCCAGCTGTTGTTATCTACTCTTGGCAGCCTTCCCCGGGACATGAGGTTAACTACCCACCTCCAGCTGGCAATGAGAACTAGGTTGGTTCCGACTACTCCCCCATTGGATGTTGGGTTATCTACTTTTCTGTCTTTCCAGACTAAGACTCCATGTCGGTTTTTCATTTTGCTTTTTCTTTCTCTTTGGATTGTAGACTTGGAACTATGGTTTCTTTCACCCAGTGTGTGTGTTTTCATGACTCTAGCTCTGTTCCCTTTGGACTGGTCCCCTTCCAGTCCCCTGCTCTTGACTGGTCTGCCTTCCAGTCACCGTTCCCGCTCATCACTTTTCGGTAACATCGTTCCCTTTTCCTCTGCTCCATTGAGGGCAATGTCGAATCTAAGCGGGCTGGGGGGGGTGCTTGGAGCTTAGTCCGCTGTCCAAATCTCGAGATTTGAGGGCTCCAAGTACTGATGTTTGCATGGTCATATGGGCACTATGGTTTATGTGGTGAATCGAATGGCTGTTAAAATTAATGCATGACAACTTATAATGATGACTGAGACGTGCTGTAAAGTTATTGTGACCTCCTTAAATAGTGTTTCTTATCAGCTTGGCTTGGAAATTCTAACATTATTGTGACCTCCTTTGCTCTTGTGCTCCAAGAACTTGATTAATGCATAATGGCAGAAAAGAAGGTAAATGGTTTGAATGATTGTAACTGTGTTGGTTTTGGAACTGTGGAACCTTGTATTATGAATTCTTCCACCACCTAAAAGGCATTTTCCCATGTCTAAGACCTTAGCCAGTCATCTGAACCCATGTCTAAGACCTCCTGACTAGTTCGTGGTGAGTCTGGTGACATCCGATATGTGAACTCTAGCATTTAGAGGCTGCCTTCATGGTGAAGAGGAGTTAGGGATTGAGAGAATAAGCATGCAGATTTTTTCATCAAATTGTCCTGACCCCACTGGTCGAGAGTGAGAGATTCATTTCCTTATATTCTTTACATTCTTTACCCAGGCGAGGACTTAGATTGCTCGGTCTTGATTCTGATGTCTTGAGTTTTATGCATGAGGTGACTGTCTTGAATAATTGGTTGGGTCAAGTCTAGGTTGGTTGGTGAACATAAGGAGACTCTTTCTTTACCCGATTTTGCTGCACTCGAATGACATCTTTGGTGGTTGTCTAGGTTGTCGTTGAGATTGTTCATGTGTTGATTTCTAAAAGCCAGATTCGCGTGTTCTGTGCCTATATGATATGTCTCCAAAGTTTGCATGATTAAAATTATTTGAGCTTACCTTGTATCTGACTTGGTTTGCTTGGATACAAGCAAACGCTTAAGTGTGGGGGAATTTGATAACGTCATGTTTGCACATGTTTGCACCCTTATATCTTAACCATTTTGGCTCGATTTTGTTGTTCCTTGGCTTATTTTACGCTAGGTTGTCCTATTTTGTCATATTTCAGGTCCTAGCGTGTGTATGAAGGCTTAGGCGCAAGTTTCGGGTCATTTGTAGATCATTTGATGATTGTGGAGCAAAAGCATGGTTGTCCCCTACCAAAGCACGACCGTGCTTTTTATCAGCCTGGCCGTGTTTTTACTAGCGAGCGCAAACCAAGAGAAGGCTGGAGAAAAATGAAATACGGGCAGACCAGGAGAAAAGCACGACCGTGCTTAGTTAAACACCACTAATATTTCACCCAGACTTGACCGTGTTTCTCCCGTTTTTCACTAAGTGAAACACGCGTTTTGGGCAAAGCACGGTCAAGGGAGTAAGCATGACTGTGCTTCTGCCCCTATTTTGCCCAGAATCGGGTTGAAAGAGGCAGATTCGAGCCAAAGGCAGGGGATTCATCTTTTTGGAGCAAAAATAGAGTTCTAGAGAGAGAAAGTGCAAAGAACAAACCCTATGAGCTATTTTGGAGTGGATTTCTCACCATTGAAGCCCATATTGCATCCCCAGGAGTGAAGATTGACATCCCAGAGCAGATTATTCTCATCTTTATGAGTATGGCTACTTTGATTTCTATTTTCCTCATTCTCTCTATGGAGTAGACCTTTCTCTTACTTGGGTATGAAGAACCCTAGTTCCATGTGCTAGGGATCTTGTTTGTAATGACTTTTGGATTGTTATATTGATTGATTTTAATCGATTGGAGTAAGTTTATTGAGTCAATTGAATCCTGATCAACTTCTTTTGATTTCTACTTCAACCTGAGATAGATAGAATCTGATTAGTTTGTTAGAGCTTCTTCAATCGATAGGAGTGAATTAATTGTACGAGAGTCAGTCAATTCAGTGCTTTGTACTGTACTCCATTTCCAGTAGTGGATTTCTGTGTTAATTTCGTTAGCATTTTATCCTAGTGAGGACTAGTCATTTGTCGGTTGTCTATCTAAGAGGGCTTGGTTAGCTTAAGAGATTCAAGGCTACTGTTTGATCTTCCGCAGTTTAATCAACCGTAAATCAACCAAAGGAAATTAAAAATTGAACCTAACTAAGGAGCTATGAGGACTCAATCCCTAGTGACTCTTCTTTTGCTTAAGAACTTTGAACAATTTACTACTTTCTTTATGTTTACATTGAATGCACCTACACTCACTGCTATTATACTTGGTCGTAGTTTGGTGTTGTGTTTTAGCGTGTCAGCTGTTGTACAATTGCATCTTTGTGAAGTAGCTATTAAGGTGGTTGTCCGGATCCGTCGTCCCATCATAAGTTGGGAGTGGTAGTATGTTAGTTCTTATCGGCTCCATCAGCACATTCCTCGCCAAGGGTTGCCTAACAGTGAAGTGTCGGGGAAGACGCCCGGGCATCCACCCGTTTCGCCCTTCAAGTTCTAAGCAGTTGTGATCATTTGGAAGCCACACGGACGTGGCGCGCCTGGGCTGACCGGACTCCCCTTCCATCTCTGCAATCCTTTCCCTTTTCCTCGTCGTCGGGCTTGGGGCCAATCCCTCTCCCTTCTTCAGTGCCTCCACTTCTCGTTTGAGAATTTCAATCGCTTCATCTTGGTCCTCGATGATCTTGAACAGATCTCTCTTGGTGATCAAGGCGCATTCTAAACAAGGGTGCCTTGACTCACTCCCTTCCCCCTCAATCGCGTCGGGTGTCCGCTCCCTGGACCCTTGGGACGGATACCCCATAACCTGTTCCCCCTCTCCACTTCCGGGACTTCCATTTTCATAGTTATCGGCCGCTTCCCCTTCCTAGCGCGCAATTGTTTGTACCTAAATACCTTAAGAGACTGATCTTCCGTACTCCCGAACCCTGCTTATCTTTTCGTACTCTGGCGATCAAGTTAGTTCGTATTCTAGAGAGAAAAGTATCAAATCCCAGTTTAGTGAGAGAGTCCAACCTACATAAATGCTACGTACCGACACTATTTATACTCACCCTACCCTGGACCGGGCTAGCTCCTTCATTTCAGCCCCACTTCAGCGTTTCATTTAATGTTCCATACTTCTGTCAGACTAGGCGCCCCAACCAGCGTGTTAGTCTTTCAAATAGGTGCCAGGCTCTTTGTGGGGGAACCACTGACAATCCGTACTCTCTTCCCTAAGGGGTTGCATTGGGCTTTTATTTGGGCTTATCCCTTTGTAGTACCCTCGACAAAAATATTCTAGCAACACAAGTTATATTCCACGTATATTTTTAAAGGTTAGAGTTCAAAGAAAAAGAATAAAATAATCTCATCTTAAATGATCTCATCTAAAAGATGAGATTGTATAATCATTTATCTTGAATAATTGTTTCTGACACATCAAACGTATAATACATGCATTGTCTGTGCATAAATAAGAAAAAAAACATTGAATTATAAATAATACAAGCATTGTAACAGTCTCACCCAACCAATCAAAAGTTAAAAGGCCCATAAATGAACAAACTATATACCTTAATCATGAACAATGGGAACATGTCAATTGGTCAGAGCTAGTCACATAAAGATGTTGTTTCAGCCAGCGCAGGGATCCCCGGTGGTGTCCCGCCTTTTTTTCGCTGACTATAGTGTTTTCTTTTTTCAGGGCCACTGTGTAGGAGCGCAAGGAAATTAAAACTATCCTGAAGGATTATGAGCGCGAGTCGGGACAACTTGTCAACTTTCAGAAATCTAATATCTCCTTCAGTCCAAATGTTAAGACACATAGACGACTTGAGGTGGGAGGAGTTCTAGAAATGAAATATGCCCAGAAACATGATAAGTACTTGGGTTTGGCAACTGAGGCTGGCAGGTCTAAGAAGGAGCTATTCTTGGAGATAAAAGAAAGAGTTAGGAAGAAGTTGAAAGGATGGAAGGAAAGGATCATGTCATCTGCAGCACGTGAAGTGTTAATCAAGTTTGTGGCGCAGACGCAGCTCACGTATGCTATGGGAGTGTTCCGGGTACCTGATGGTATCATTGATGAGATTAACAGCATGATTGTTAATTTTTGGTGGGGACAGAAGGGCAGTGAAAGGCGAGCCCACTGGATCAGTCGAGAGAGGAAGGGGGAATGGGTTTCCTCGATCTAAAAGGGTTTAATACGACCCTCTTGGCAAAACAGCTGTGGCGGCTTTCAAAAAGGCCGGGGTCTCTGGCGGCTCGTATCTTCAAAGCCAAGTATCACAAGAATGGTGCGATGTTGGACGCACAGTGTGGGCGTAGCCCGATTTATACCTGGCGTTCGTTAATGAGTTCACAAGAGTTTCTATGTGGTGGGCTTCGTTGGAGATTTGGAAATGGCTCGATGGTGAGAATTTGGGGCGATCAGTGGATTCCTACATCCACTAACCTGTACGTTCCATCATCCCTAATGGGGCTCCCTGTCCACTCTGTGGTACGCGAGTTGATAGACCCGGAAAACGATCAGTGGGATGGTGATTTGATAGCGAGTTGTTTCCCTATTGAGGTGGCGACCGCCATTCTGCAAATTCCCTTGAGAGATATACATGAACATGATCGTTTGATTTGGCATGACAACAAGAATGGGGATTACAATGTGAAGGACGACTACAATAGATGGCATAAGGAGTTCTCCCATGAGCAGGGGCTTGTGGTGCATGAGAATGTGGCTGCATGGAAAAGCATGTGGGCTATGCGCACTCCAACGAAGGTCAAGCAATTTATGTGGCGGTTCATGAGGGATGCCCTTCCCACGGGTGTTCGGGTGAGTACTCGAAGCAATCGATGGAGCGATAAGTGTCCGTTTTGTGATATGTTAGAGACCCAAGTTCATTTTTTTTCATGAGTGCAGCTGGGGAGCCCGAGTGTGGCTTGCCTCACCGCTGGCGGGCTGCTTTGATGCTCGGGGAATGAGTGATTGTTTTGGATGGGTTAATGAAGTGATGACTCGGGTCGGGGATGAGGAGTTGAAAGAATGGTGCACTTTGATGTGGGCTTTATGGAGAGAACGGAACGCACGGTTGTTTAATGGTAAGAAGGCGCCAGATAATGAAATAGCAGTTTGTGCCCACCTTTTGCTAGAGGAGTATAAGCTGCAGCAGGTTCGTTTCGAGTACCCTATTACTAGCATGGATGGTGTAGATGAAAGGAAGTGGAGGTGGTCTGCTAAGGGATGTACGTCGGTAGCGACGGACGCCGGCATTCTGCCAAATGGAGGGGCGGGACTTGGAGTATTCATTCGGGATGACGAAGGGAGATTCTTACTAGCAGCAGCGAAACGAGTAAAAGGGAGGTGGAGTGCGGATATGGCAGAGGCTCTTGCTGTGGAACTTGGGGCTCCGCTTGCACAGCAAATGCAGTACCCAAACCCGATCCTTGAATCGGATTGCCAAACAACGATGCACAGTCTCCGTTCGACTGATGAGATCTTCACAGAACTGGGAACTATATGTCGGAACACAAGAAGGATATTGGACCAAATGGAAGGTAGTAGTTGGAGGTTCATTTACAGAGAAGAAAATGAAGCTGCGCATCTCATGGCACATGCACCGACGAAATGGGACGAGTGTGTGGTGTGGATGGAGAGACCTCCCGTTTATCTTGTTGATCGTTTGTTACTCGATAATGTAACCGAGACCGCTGGTTAATACAACACTACAGGAAAAAGACTCTTTAATCATGGGTATTCCCGTATTTAAAAGCATGTTTCCCGTGATTAATGACTTTATTCACGGGAAAATTACCGTAGTATAAAGCTCCGTGACTAATTGTAAACCGTGACTAGTTATATTACAGTGACTAGATAACTAGTCACGGTGTAGTTTCCCATGATTATTTATACCTACTAATCACGGGAAACCCCGTAACTAATGTTAAATTTAGAGCACAGACCCAAGAAAAGACACATCTAGAGACGGGATGTTTCCCTATTAAGATGGTTATACTATGACAAATTGGTTCCTGTGACTATATATCAATCACTAGTCACGGTATCTACTATTTGTAGTGGCTGGTTCACGGTGACTATATACCAATCACTAGTCACAGTATTTACTATGGGGTAATTACAAACCGTGATATCTATACAAGATTACTTATGAATTTTTGTCATTACTAATTACGAAAACTGGTTGTATTCAAGTGTGGTTCCACCAAGTAAAGAGAAAATTAATATTATTTATTTTGAATAATGGTCATACATTTAATTAATTAACATAATTAGGAAAAGGACGAAGATGTAAAGAAACAAGAGTTCTCTACGTAACTATCTGGAGCACATCAGCTAAAACTGAGACTGGCCAATCTCCCTCAAATCAAAATAGGCACCTCTAGTGCAAACAGGGCAGAACATGAGAAGAAAAGTTCACATTAGTAAGATGTAGAAGGGTATTCCTAAAACGGAACCTTCAGTTAAGATTTTCATGGCATCTAGGGCTTCACATTATACCCTGCAACACTTCCATTCCTTTGTCATTAGTTGCTAAAGCATGTTGGAAGCTATGAAGATTCCACGAATTACTTCAGTGAAACCTCTTTTGTTTAACTCCTCACATTACTGGGCACACCACTGGTTGGATAAAATGTTGACTTCATCCCAGTTAGCCAAGCCTCATCTGTAGCTCTATCATCCTTGCTCGGTCCCATAGATATTCATAACGAGTTGTGGGGCACAAGACTGCAAGATGTGGAATGTGGAATACCTGCCATGAACCTTAATGGCAGCACTTGAAAGAAAAGTTCAGTACATAAACCCCCCAAACTTACTGCCATAACTTAGATCCAGGACCTACAAGGCCAAGAAAATAGAAGCAGTCAAACCAAAAAGGAGGATATACTTGAAAGAGGTCAGCAAGTTGAGACATGGCAAAGCAAACAACATTAAGAGATGCAAAGTAGAGAAAAAGGCAGAACATTTTTGGGAAGAGAACTCTACAGAGACTGCAAAACAGTGATGAAGATTGATCCCTTTAATGGGTAAGAGAACTCTACAGTAAGTGATTCTTTTGCAACAGAAACATAGAAAGAATCCAGAGAAGGAAAACCAAAAAAACAAACTGCTCAGCTAACAAAGTTTTAGTAAGAAAAAGACAGCACCTTCGACTAGGAAGAGTATTAGTTTATCATCACAGCCTCAAGGCACCATAGCAAATGAAATTCTGGAATTCCCATTGAACCAAAAGGAATTTATGTGCCCTAACCTAGAAAATACTTGAATCTCCACACAAATCCAAGATTCAAACAAAACTGCATATTGCTTTATGGCAGTATGTAAACAGAACCCAACAATGAAAGACAGAGAAAGAGAGGTGGTAAGCTTTACCTTAGGGATATGTTTGCATAGATAATATGAAGACCAAATCCAAAACAATAAGCCTAAAAAAGACCAGATTCACATTATCCAACCTAAAGAAAGATGAAAAGTATACTAATCCCTAACATGAACCTCGATGCTCCATAGAAGCAAAAACATTCATGATCAAGTTCAAGTTAAATGCATTGACAGTTCATAATTCTATATCCATCCACCTTAGAGGATTGAATATTGAATGAATTCTCTCTAATAATCATACAAGACCATCTATATGGCATACTTGAGAATGCTAGAGCACTGATTAGAGAATGTAAAAGGGAACCCACCCAATAGGACTCCTCCTTCTCCTTAACCTTCTCGTCATTCTTTGTTGTAGTAGCAGAAGCTGGAGTAGAAGCGTCATCACCAGCAGGGCAAGCAACAACAAGCTCGTTGACATCCTTATGTTAGACCCTAGGGAGAAGAAACTCCATCTGGTTGTCTTCAGAATCTACACCAATATGTCATGTTCTGCATTTTTGTACATAAAAAATTGCCATGTGTAAGAAATCTTGACACAATACTCAACCTCATTAAATAAATAGCCTTCATCAGCCACCAAACTCAGCATTTATAAAAAGTGTATGGAAAATGGCTAAGTTAACTGTTGCTTATTGCTATGATGTCTTAAGGGCCCAATCACATAAAATGCTAATACTCATTTATCTACTAAGTAAATCAGTTACCGGTAAATAAATAAGACCACTAAGTAACTTTCTATTGAGTATTAGTTTAATGTTGCATACTACGAACAAGGATGAGGTACGATTAGAATAACTATAGATATCCAAAATATTTTACCTCCGAATTAATAAGCCATGGTGAAGGGCACCTTCAGGCGTACGAAGATCCTCTTTTAGTTCCTGTGAAAGAGTACCTGGCTTCATCTCTTTCAGTATCACCTATACGAAGTAGACTAATACATGAAGCACACTATACACAGTAAAACTTAAAACTTTCAAGCCTATGATGAACTTGGAGAAATAAAGAGCACACACATATATATATATATATATATAGAACTAAGGTTGAAGCAGAATGAGCCTGAAAACCAGAGAAATGTAGAATGTTTACATACAATTTCTTCTTCAAGGTACAAGTCGTCGTGATTTGTTAATTTTAGTTTGTTTTCAACTTGGAAAAGGTATAAGGGATAACTGCAAAAGGAATCAATAAGTACAACCAGAACAAAAAAAAAAAAAAACATGGCAGTCCGAGATAACCAAACCTGATAATCAATGTCCATCTTCCCCAACTTAGGCTGCATGAAATCGCTTTGCTTTAGCTCAACTTTCTACCGTTCTCTTTCTGGATATATGCCTGCATAGAGTAGAGAAAGAAGGTTGAATTCCATTAAAACTGGAAAAATCCCCTATTTGTTCGGTTTCAAACCCTAAAACACCAAAAATATAAAATTTCAATCCCAGTTTCACAATCGATGCATGAAATTGGTGCTACCCAACCCAACGTCAGGAAGAGGATAAAAGTTCAACGAGAGTATTGAACTACTCTTTGCTGCCTGCGTCGATTTGGCGGCAAAGTGAAAAAGAAGTGAAGCAGAGGTGGCGAGTTCAGGAAATGCAGGGAGGATGTGAAGAAGAGAGCGGTTTCATAAGTGGAGTTGGGGTTTTGGAGATGGACTGAAGGAGGAAGGAGGAGGAATCAGTGGGGACTGGGGATGCAGCCGGTGGAAGTGGGTGGTGGTGGTAGGCTCTCCCAATTCCTTTCTCTGGAGAAAAACACAGGGGAGAGAAAGAGGGTATTGGAAGAGGCGAAGAGCGAAGTAAGTAGTTGGGCTTTCGCTTTTCATTATTTTGTGCTACATGGGGGAAGAGGGATTGTGAAATTTTCAAAAAGATGCAGGTATATTTTCTATGCTGAAAACTTTTGGGTAGAAAATGAAATTTTGTAACCAAAACAAATGTTTTCAACCAAAGTAAAATTTCATATTTGGAGCCAGATAATTCTCCCTCCTATAATTCTGAACAATTTTTCAACCAAAGGTAATATTTGGAGCCAAACAATTCTCCCTCTTATAATTTGAATAATTACTGTTAAAGATAAATTTTTACATTATTCACGGTAATTAATCATGACTAAGTATTAATCACGGGAAATGAATACTAAAAAAATATGAATTGATTCCCGTGATTAAAATCATACCACTAGTTACGGAAATTTTTCCCGCGACTATTAGTGCGCTTCTTAGTACGGGAAACATTCCCGTGAATAAGATCCCGTACCCAGAAACCACTTTTTCTGTAGTGCAAACTCTAGCAGATTTCCATAAAAAACATAATAATAATAATAAACATTAAACACAGAAATCCAAATCACAAGAGAACCTTTTTCTTCTTTTCCATCTTCCTCATGAGAGTGAGACAAGCACCCATCCAAAAAGTACTAACGTGCTACTACTTGTAGGTTGCAGATGAGTTTAATTGGTAACATGCGATTCGGTGTTCATTCGGAAAAATCTCATTCGGCACTCTGCTTGTTTATTAACGAGTTGAGTTTGAGCTAAATCTTGTTCAACTTGCACAGATTGCAAGTCAACCTGACTCGATAACTTATTGAGTTCAACTCGTAATCTAACGCGTTTTGAGCTATGAGTTGACTAGACATAATTACTTGCGAGTCATCTCGACTAGCGGAATTCAGCCAATCGATTTATAGCTTATGGGTTGACTTGTTGATAATTCATAGATTTGTTGGATTTTTTTTCCACATATCATGTTCAAGACTTCGACTAAGTTAGCTAATAGGTTTCATACATAATTTAAGAGATAATTATGTTGTAGATTGTTTCGATACTAATTATTATTAAATAGCATTATATGAATAGTTTAAATTATGAGATAAATAATATGATACCTAAGCTGTTAATCTTATGAGTTTTTTTATTAGCTGAACATGAGTAGAGCTCCTGAGCTCATTAATGATTCGAGCCAAGTTGAGTTCAAATCAAATGCGGACCAATATTTCAATAAACGAGATAAGTTTAAACTAGATCAAAACTCGATTAGGCCATGCATTGAGCCCTTAGTAACTACCAAAGTTGTCAAACCGGTTTAGTCTGATGGCCTAATCTAGCAATTAAGTTGAAGGTTAATGGTTTGATTGCATTAACCTGAATTACCCCATATAATAAAAAATAATATTACTTTATTATTCGTATATTTATAAATTATATAAAATCTCAGTAATAATATACAATGCAGTCAAAATCGCGTTTTCAAACTTAAAAACTTACGCTTTTACGCTTCTAGGTCACCAAAACGCTTTCATTTCCATATAAAATCGGACTAAATTGCGCTTAAAAGCTTACGGTTGTACGCTTCTAGTTTACCACAATGCTTTACATTTTTACGCTTTTAGTTCACTAAATGTGTATTATTTACACGAAATTAATTATCAAAATATATTTTAAAGGTAAATCACCAACAATATGATACATTTGAGATTAAAAAATACATACCAAGTACTTAGATGCATTCTCAGCTTCAATAGAGTAATCTAATTCACCAGGTAGGTTCTTCCTAAATTCATTAGCATAGAGGGGAAGGTGGCTGATTGTTAAGATTTATGTTTATGAACGTATTATTAAGAGACTATAAGTTGCTCTACTTCAGGCATGCATTGCAAGTATTTATTAACTTATCGAAATTCTGTGCACTCATATTTTACACAGTATATGTCTTACTTAACATATTTTTAGTTATTTTAAAGTATGCTTAAAAAACTTACGTTTTTACGCTTTAATTCTACACTTTACGATTTAACCTTTTTCCACTTCTAACTAAAATCACGCTTTTGACTGCACACATAATATATAATATATAACTACACCAACACATTTCTTATTTGTATCCATGTCATAAAATTCTGATTGTTCTGGTTTGCCCTATGAGGTGGGGCGGGCATTTGTGGATTGGAAACTAGGCTGGTGAATTGCCGTCTTTGTCTATATCTGATTGTTCTGGTTTTGCCCCTATGAGGTGGGGTCAGTAGTTCACTTCCACTGCCCTTCGCCACCAACTTCACATAAATTTCTCGTTTGAGTTTTTAACGGCCAGAGAGAGCCACCAACTAGTTAGGTGAGCCACCCGTTTGCACGTTTTATTTCCACCCATTTTTTTATTATTTAATTTGATGATTATCTCCACCATTTTATTTGTGTTACACCAATAAATGGGATAAGTGCTAACACTCCCTGAAATTAGCACCTTACTAACATTCCATGGATTTGGATTTCATTTCCAAATGACAGTTTGGTATCTTAACTTAATAGATTTAAATATTTAGTACCAAAATATCAATTTGTTTGCATATATGTACTAATATATTGATGACAAATTACATTGTAGTACTAAAATTTTATGTCATACATTTTGGATACCTAACTTTTTAAAATTTACGAATAGGTCTAGGTCTAAGAATCTTGTAGTCTGCTTTATAAGGTTTCTAGTATGCTTTCATAAACTTTTGGTATGATTTATGAGGTTCCTGATCTGCTTTAAGAAACTTGTGGTGTTCTTTAATAAACTAATCGTATGCTTTATGAGGTTTCTGGTATGATTGAGAGAATTTGTGGTATGCTTTAAGAAACTTGTGACCTTCTTTAATAAGCTTGATGTATGCTTTATGAGACTTTTTGGTGTGCTTCATTAAACTTCTGGTTTGTTCTAATAAACTTCTGGTATGCTTTAAGAAAATTATAGTATGCTTTTAGGGAACTTGTGATATGCTTTCTGAGATTTCTGATATGCTTCAGGAAATTTGTGGTATGCTTTGAAGTGTCAAGTATACTTTATGAATTTGTTGTGTGGTAAGATTATGTTATGCTTTATAAGCTTTCTAGTATGCTTTATGGTGTTTGTTCTGTGGTTTGTTGTGTTTCTGGGGTTTTTTTTTTTTTTTGTGATATGCTTCAATATAGGCAAAATTAATGAGCCCCCTTAATATTTAATAATGACAAGAGTGTCCCTCTCTTTATAAATTCGTACTAATTATGGTCAACCCTTTGAAATTAAAAAGTAATCAAGATGAAATGTTCCTATTAGCTGAAATTAATTTTATCACCATACTAATAAATTGTGTGCTATCACCCTAACCTCTGCCACAATCTATGCCTTTGATATTGTCCAAAAAAATCAAATGCCCTACACGGCTACACCTGATAACTGGCCGATTACCACTCTATGTTGTTCGTATTCATTAACTTTGGTCCCATTTAGTATAATTTTATTGTTGTTGTGGTTGGACAATTAGTTGTGCTAAGATATGAGAAATCACAACAACATGAAAATAGAAATTCAAACACTTTCGGTTCGTAAATTATGGAGTACGAGTGGAGCTTGGTCTGCCAAGGACACAAGTTTGGAAAATCAACACAATTGGAAAATCAAAATCGCGAGCAACGTGGGTCAAGATTCACAGCCATCTACCAAAAGATTAGAGGAAGCTACTTCATCAATTGTCCTGGTTCAAGCAAGCGTGGTCATCTAGCGAACCTTGTGTATAAGGTTCTTTTGGGGGGGGGGGGGGAATTATTAGAAGATGAAGCCGACGTGACAATTGAAAAAATTAAACTTGAGTACCATTTAATATCTTTCTTTCATTATTATGTATTTCGTATTATTTTAGGACATCTCGTTCTAAGCGTTCTAGTTTGGTAAGGAATTGTGTTAATTCTAATTTATGAATTAACTTTTCTTGTAATAGAAGAAAGAGAATTCTAGTATGAAAATGAAAAGGAAAGAGGTCAAATACTAGGGCGGCAAGGAAAGAGATTTGGTTAAGAACTACAAGTAATAGTCTCATAGCTATTTTGGAATTGTTCTCGCCATTAAACGGAATCTCTATTCGAAAATTTACGAAAATTATCCAAAGTACAAAGAGCAAAAATCTATACGTAATATACAAAGCGCTCATGATGAACATAGTGTCTTGCATTGCGAGGTGGTTTGTAATATACAAAGGGTGATGGACCTTGCTCAAACTGACAATACGGAATTAAGGCATATATTGTAGTAGTCATGATTTGTTTTTGTTCTGAAATTTGAAGTTTGATGTATTTTCTGTGAGTGTCAAGGCTTTGATAGGAAATGGTCCTACTCCTTGTATATTGGTTATTCTAGTGCCATAATTTCACAATTTTTCATAGCAAAAAGGTTCGTAATCCATTCTCCACAGATACTAATAGCCTTAACCAAATAACTAATCCGCACACACAAATACCATGATGAGACACCTTTAAAGTAGGAGTGGCTATATGATCAGGTCTGATTAAATCGGCCCGAATTGATCCGGATCCAGTCCGGTATTTTCAGGAATATAAGGAGGACCAAAGATAGGATTGGATACAGTCCGGTCTTGATCTGATCCGGTCCCAATTCGGTCTTGATTTTAGATTGAGCTTGTGATGATTTGAGTGTCTTGAGGATTCAAAGAGTGAGGAGTTGGTTAAATTTTGGGTGTTGGGCTTTCTTATCCGGTTTTCGATCCGGTCCCAAATCTAAGCCCGAAAATTGAATTGGATTGTTTGCTATCCGGGTCTCGTCCGATCCCAGTCCGAATTATACGGTCCGGTTTCAGATAAACCCAAATAGTCGGCCCTACTTTAAAATTTAAGCCCTAATGTCGATCGAACCCGTCAACTAAACGCTAAAACCATAACCGTCAAACCACCCTTAAACCCTTCTGCTAGCAAAGAAACCCGTTTATTCATGTAATAAACAACTTAAATAACAAGTCTCGTTTTTCTTTGGAAGTGCCAAATTAGCGGCAAAATTCCAACCGATTAGCCCTACGCACCAAATATTGTTATTGCGACGAGTATCTTTGATCAAAATTTGAGTATAATCTAATATTATGATTGTTGGGTCAACCATAGAAATAAGTGACTCAAGATCATTAACCTAATCATGCTACACCTCATATGTGGTAGACTCGACAAGAAAGAGATATCAACTAGTAATCTATGCACTCTTCACAATTTTATTCTAGCAATCTCGTCTATGCAAAATAAAATCTGTTAGACTGAGCCAAAACCAACCCGGTTAAATCTAGATGGTTCAAACAATTACTTCAAACGGCAACTTGATTGCGATAGGGTCGATAGAATTATAGAAGCATCAATCAATAAAATCAATTTTTTTTTTAAAAAAAAAGCGAAGGCCAAAACAGTCACACTCAAGTGTTTATATAAAGTGAGGAATATTGTGCTAGTGGGGAAGCAAAACCCTTCACTTCACTCTCACCAGTCACCACACGACCAACTTGTTGACTAATTAAACCATGTCGTCCCCCGCCGCCGGCGGCAACCTCACGGCGTCCGCCATGATCCCGACCACCCCATCCCAACTGCTCTCCGTCCTCGCCGTCTTCACCCTCCCGATCTTCCTCATGTACCTCCTCATCGGCGGCAGGAAGAAGAAGAACCCGGCGGGGATGAAACTCCCCCCCGGCCCAGCCCAACTCCCCATCATCGGCAACCTCCACCTCGTCGGCAAGTTCCCTTACCAGTCCTTCCACAAGCTCTCCCAGAAGTACGGCCCCGTCATGTTCATGCAGCTCGGCCGCGCCCCCACCGTCGTCATCGCCTCCGGCGAGGCCTCCCGCGAGGCCATGAAGGACCACGACCTCGAGACCTGCAGCCGCGCGCTCTCCGTCGGGCCCGGCCGCCTCTCCTACAACTTCCTCGACGTCGCCTTCTCCCCTTACTCCGACTACTGGCGCGAGATGCGGAAGCTCTTCATCTTCGAGCTCCTCAGCATGAAGCGCGTTCACATGTACTGGTACGTCAATCCCGGTCGAACCGAACCGATCTCGTTTTTTATTTTTACGGTTCAACCGGTGACTAAACTTTGTATTCAAACCGATTCCTTATTTATTAGGTACGCCCGTGAGGAGCAGATTGACAGGCTGGTGGTGAGGCTGTCCGACGCAAGTGCCAAGGGCAGCACGGTCAACCTGACCGAGATGGTGTTCCACGTCATCGACGGGATCATGGGTACGGTGGCGTTTGGGAGGACTTACGGCCAGCTGGAGTTCAAAGACGGGTTCGTCAAGGTGATCAGCTCGGCCATGGACATGTTGAACGGCTTCCACGCTGAGGATTTCTTCCCTACCGCGGGGAGGTTCATTGACTCGTTGACCGGTGCGCTGGCAACCCGGGAGCAGACTTTCAAGAATCTGGATGGTTATTTCGAGAAGGTTCTGAACCAGCACCTGGACCCGAACCGGGCCAAGCCCGAGCATGAGGACATTGTGGACGTCTTGATTGGGCTCATGAGGGACCAGAGCGCATCGTTTCAGCTCACCAGGGAACACCTCAAGGCCATCCTCATGGTAATTAACTATTATTACCTTTATTAATTAATCCCCGCTCTTTTAGGCGGAATAGAAATAATATCTTGTGCCACGCAGTTCAAGAAAAGATCCACGTCACCATTTTTGTCCTACTTGCATTCACGTGATCGTGATGTGCAGATTTCAGAGTACATAACAATATCTCTCCCCCAATAATTCACCATTTTTTGGGTTTTTTCTTTTCAGAACATATTTGTGGGTGGGATCGACACAAGCGCGGTGACGACGACATGGGCCCTGACGGAGCTGATCAAGAACCCAAGGATCATGAAGAAGGCCCAGTCCGAGATCCGGGGCATCGTGGGGCCCAACAAGAAGCGCGTGGAAGGGCGTGATCTGGACAAGTTCAAGTACCTGGAGCTGATCATCAGGGAGGTTTTCCGGAAGCACCCGCCGGTGCCGCTGCTGATCCCGCATTTCTGCGTGAAGCACTGCAAGATCGGCGGCTACGACATTCTTCCGGGGACCCAGGTGGTGATCAACACCTACTCGCTGGGCCGGGACCCGAAGTGCTGGACCGACGTGGAGACGTTCTATCCGGAGCGGTTCGAGAACAGCAACGTCGACTACCAGGGCTCCCACTTCGAGCTCGTCCCCTTCGGCGCCGGCCGCCGGATCTGCCCCGGGCTGGCCATGGGGACCACCGCAGTGAAGTACACGCTGGCGAATCTGCTCTACTTTTTCGATTTCCAGCTGCCCGGTGGGATGAAGTTCGAGGATTTCCCGATTGAGGATGCCGGCGGGCTCACGATTCACAACAAGGAAGATCTAGTCCTCATCCCCAAGAAGCATCAGTGGTGATTTTGATTCGGTGGAGGATTCTCACCATCTTTCTGTGTGTTGTTTTTACTTTTTCAGTACTTTTGCCTCTGTTGTTCTCAATAATTTACACCTTCGCGTGCAGTTAATTTTGTATTCGATGGCTACCGTTCTTGCTGTTGTGTCAATGTTGAATGTGGTAATGGATGGATCGGAGGATCCTCATCAATGGAAGAAAGTCCAACCATATGTACTGCTTTCTCATTACGTACTTTAATTTACGGTTTATATTGTTATACGGGAAGAACAGAACACAACAGAAATAGCCATGATTTTCAGAAAGAAATGGAACTAGGAATAACAGGTTGGAAAACCGCTCTGTTAAATGGAACGGAATCAATGTTAGGAGATCAGCTAACTGGGAGACAGTAGGAACCTGACGCGCTTATAGCGGAGGTATCAATGCAGGTGATGAACAGCAAGTTCACTGCGGTTGAAGGGAAAGGTGACGAAAACTCGTTTCTTGATCCTTGTGGACACTAACAAGGGAATAGAATGCTGCTTCCACAATGTGAGCATACTTCTTCCTCTACCTTGCTGAACAGCTGAAATGAAAAGGCTGGCTGATTGACTATATGGAGAGACTAACTGATTCATAGTCTAAGTACTTCTACAAACATTGCTCCAAAATCCAAATGGCATTGGCACCCTATAATTGTGTACTTTATATAGCAATAGGGTAGTAACAAACATTTGGTTCACATCCGGAAAATTTCCTCCTCGGTGATTATTGTGTCAAGAGGAGGTTCGACAAGGAAAAGTAAAGAACCCAGGAACAGAGTGCAGATGGCAAAGAACATCAACGATTTACACAAATCAGGATGCCTTCCAACGACTGCTGCCATGCCTTCATCTCGGCCACTCCTTAAAGATGCATCATCAAGCTGTAGGGTTGGGCATGTGAGAAATCCATAGATTATGCCGGTCATAACTGACCCCAAATGCGTCCTGTAAAAGTATAGCAACAATGTGTTTTTGTATTAAGAACACACACTAGACTCCGAGTCAAAGCAATCTCTTCGGTAATCAATTTGGAGATCTTACCAGTCATCAATGGGACCAAAGTGGCTTAATATGAAGCTAAGAGCAGTGGTCATCATAGCTTTCTGGAACAAGCTCTCTGAAGTGTCCTTGTCGACTACTTCTTTGTTCTGAGCTTGATAAATGAGCCAAGCTCCAATTATGGCGAAAATTGGCCCCTGCAGGAATATGATGCCTTGGTCAGAGAGAAGCCTTCTAAATATATGATTGAATTAAGGATCTAGAGACACATTCTAGTTTTAACAGTTTACCGTGCCACCGACTGCTGGCTCTGGTGTGTGAAGAAAGCTCGTCAAGTTGCCAGAAAGTCCTCCAAGAAGATATATCAAGAGGAAAGTAAACGAGCCATAACGCCGACAAACTTCAGGGCCGAAAGTCAGAAGTGACCAACATCCAAGGGCGACATGGAAAACTCCAGAGTGCTACAGCCAACATTAATTAGCACATTAAAGCTTTATGCTTAAATCTCAACAAGACCATTCTAGGAGAGCATTCACTCTCTTTGTACAGAACAATCAGTATATACCAATGATAAGTGGTTAAACAGATTTTCCAAGGGAAAAGAGAACACCAATGTTAGAAAACCAATCCCCCCACATTTAATAATCGCCTCACCCATGAGGATACACAAAAACCAGCAATGGTGCAACAGTATTAGACCACGAACCGAGTTGTCAATCTTGTACCAGAAACATTGGTGTGACCAGCCTCCACCATTCTCCAGTCAGGATCAGATCATTTATCTTTGCTCCGTACAACAAAGGTAATGAGAAAAGCTGAAACTCTGAACTTCTAACCGGGGTAGCTATTTCGAATAGGAAAACTGCAATGTTTATCGACGCCAGTATGCCTCTGCATCAAATTTAAGAATTGATTTCGTATTAGATGCCACGTCCTAAGAACGAGATGATGTAGTCCATAGTAGAATAATTCATATCCATTATGCAACTTACACAAGATAGAAACTGGATGTGTCATCAGTTTGCCATAATGACTGAGCCATCCACGAACGACTAGCGATCCCCTTATCTCTCAACTCCAAGGAACCGTTTTGCTTCTTCGGTTCAGATCTCACCGTTTCTGGGTTTCGACGTTTACTTACTGAATTACCTGAAGTTGATCACTCAATAGAAACAGTGAAGATTTTTAGTTTCTTGAGGTTACTTGTTCAAAACTGCTCACTGTTCACTATGGTATAAGTTCATAGACCCAATTCATCATGTCAAAGTACTAACTCACAGAAACAAAAGTTCCACATGAAGCACAAACAAGCTAAAGAGAAGAGATATGCAATGCAATGCAATGTAATGAAATGCATGCAAATGGTAAGCAAGAATGGCAATCTCAAACTCTTCAAAAGCTAAACAACTAACTATCCATCCATGAATGATGATTCTGACCTCTATTAAGTTTGTGAAGATAGGCATTCAGAGAATCCAGTTCCTGTTTCGTATCAAACTGGAAACTACTCTTGTTGTCAACCACGACCCCTCTCCTACCAAAATCTGCAGAACCCTTGCTGGAATCATCATTTTGGAGCTTCCCCAAATAAGAATCCAAAAGCCTCAGCTGCTTTTCATTTCCACCTCGCCCCGAATTGCAACACACGATGGAACTAAGCCCTCTGTTTGTCTTCCAACCATTAGGAGTGCAACCAATTAAGCAACTGTAAGCATGGCGAAAGCCAAGTTGATACCGGCTTACTGCATATGGGACTGAGGGAGGGATGCTGTCTTTATGAGGCAGTTTGTAACGTATTGGAACCAGCGCCATGAGACCAACCTAAAGGCCAAAGGGAAATCGATAAGGCACTGTTTTGAGCAACTACAAGTACGAACCAGAGAGGTAGCAACAGAAGAATGGCTACAGGAAACCCATTCGATTCCCATAAGCTGTTATACGAGAAAACTGGAAGCGGTTAAAGAATGGTCAAGCCACAGGTAATATAATAAGAGGAACAACGAATTTACTTACAGAAGATGAAGGAGGGAATATTCAATCGCGGGAAGATTCTGAGTAAGGAGCAACCGAAAAAGGAAAGGTTCAGAACTCCGGAGGTGAAACGGAAGAAGGAAGTACAGATGAAATGGCGACCTGTCACAGCAGGAAATCTGGTTGATGGGAAAGCCTTATCTCAGTTGGGCCATTAAGGAACTGCCACTCCAAACTGGACCTTGGCCCACCATCACCATGGATGGATGAAAATTCCCTTCACCCGGGCCGCCCCCAGAATCCGCTACCGGATTTCTGGTGGCCTTTGTCCGCCCAATCATCGTTATCATTGTTTTCATTTTCAACTTTTCCTCCATTTTCCAATTTCAAGATTTGCATTGATTCATAAAATTTTCCTTTTCAAACAGTTCAGCCAAGACAATAACAATACTCTTTTTAGGTCAATTGTGGAATCAACCAGCCGAGACATGTTGCACTAATATGATACATATGGATTTAAGACGTTCAGGAAAAAAAAAAAAGTAATAACAACTATTTGTTTAATCACTTGTACGCGATTTAACTGGTTGCACGGAAGGTTGTCAATCCGCGGGTTGACCCGGACCCGGTTTATCTAATGGGTCAAGGGTTAACGGGTCACCCGTTTTAACCCGTTTTAGCCCGGACATATGGAAAGAATAATTATATTGTACTTATCCTGATAAATTATATCAAATCTCATCTAACATATGAATCTAACATATGAGTAATAACATATAATATTACACCAAAGTAACATGTCGTACTTAGATCCAACATATAGTAAAAATTCACACACTTATAGAACATCAATATTCAAATGTTAAACTAAGGATTCCAAAGATTAAGTTAGGCGAAAAGAATAATCGGAAAATAGGCGCATTTCGCATACCAAAGAAAAAAATGACACAATTTGACCTCCAACCCGATACATTGTAGCGGTCGACCCGGCGGACGCGTACGGCCCGATTTTCTCACCGGGTCAGAGTCAAAGTGGGTCAACTCACGGATCGACAACCTTGCACGGTATGATATCACAAACACTTATTATATCTACATGGAAAAACAAACAAAGAGCTCATGGTGCACTGGACATTGGGATTACAACGCTGCATGGATACCTGCTATGCTAGAATCCTTAGAGACTCTTTACAAGAAATTTAAGTGCTATATGTAAAAAGTTGCACCAATAGCAACAAGCAATTTGCTAATCCACATCCCCTGATACATAAAAAAAAAAAAGGTGTATCATTTAGTTGCACCAAACCTCACTAAAGAAACAACATAGGGAGGAGCTGGAACATGTTTGAAACAAACTTGCATGCACAGGTAAAGAGCAGAGCAGAGGCAACAACATCTGTGGAGTACCACCAAAGCCTCACGAAGTGTCCCATCTTTGAAATGCAACTCTCGACAGATCAATTTTTTGTTCTCTTTTCGCTATCTTCCACCGGACAATTCAATAGCGTCTTGGTTGTAAAACGAATCTTCTCCCCAGTCAAATCTCCTCTGAACCCGCTCGTACTCTTGCCTTCGAGTCACTTCAACATGCTGCCATTCCTCCCATCTCTCGGCTAGCCCTTCTCCTTCCAGCATCCTCACAACCTCAGACATCGCGGGACGATCTTCAGGCGAGGCTTGCGTACACAACAGTGCAACCTGGATCATCATTTCTACTTCCACCATGTTGTAGCTCCTGCTCAAGTTTCGATCCACGATCGCATCCAATCTCTTCTCCCTCTCAAGCTTTTTCACCTTCACCAGCCAAAAGAAGAAGAAAAAAAACATTATAGTTTGATGTTGACACAATTAGTACCGACAAGACAATAACCATAGCAATTTAAGCACATACGTGATCGAGCAATAAGACATCATCCTCTTCTTCCAAGCGTGAGAAATCAATTGCACGTTGTCCTGTTACTATCTCCAGAAGCATGATGCCATAGCCGAAAACATCTGTCCTTTCGGAGGACTTCCCTGTGGATAAGTATTCAGGAGCTATGTGGCCCATTGTCCCACGAACTTGAGTCGTGACATTAGTTTTCCTCACATCTACCAACTTTGCAAGGCCGAAATCGCCAACAACTGCTTCGTATTCTTCGTCCAAGAGGACGTTAGCTGCCTTTACGTCACGATGGATTATCTTAGGGTTGCAATGTTCATGAAGGTACTCCAAACCTCTTGCTGCGCCTAAGGCTACTCTTTTCCTGGTCTCCCAATCTAGTACCGTTTCCTCAGGTTTACGCTCTACAGGCCCATATCAACATCAGTCAACATCATCATGTTGCATTGTTGAGAGAATCAACACTTGAAATGCCATAATAGTATATCAGGTTGTTTGGTAATAGTTGCAATGGAAAAAAAAATTATTGTTTTTCATTGACACTTCTGATGCATTTGGGTGTACTTGGAACTTCATGTGCAATCTCAAATGCACTAAAACCAAACAACACCCAATATGAGTTAACACAAGCCAACTTTCAACCATAACCCTCTACCGTGATTAAGCAATTGACATGCCTATTCCGTAAAAATGTCACAAAGATGATGCTGAAGGTAACCAACAAGTTCATGGAATTAATAATGGTAATAAATACCTCTTAGACGATAAGCCACGCTCAAATTCTGCATGAAGGGATAAACCAAAAGACGTTCTGTTGGGGTCGTGCAGAACCCAATTAGCCGTAGTAAATTTCTATGAACAGCAACACTTATCATCTCGACTTCACGTTGGAATGCAGCATCTCCTCCAGGACTCTCAAAATCAGTTAACCGTTTAACTGCAATTTTCGTGCCATCAGGAAGCACTCCTTTGTAAACTTTGCCAAAGCCTCCCTGTCCAAGGATATTTTTGTCACTGAAGTTATCAGTTGCCAGCTGTAATTCCCTCCACGAAAATCTTTTCAGTTGACCAAATGCAATTCTCCGGTCTACTTCACCTAAGCAATTGTGAGGGAAAGAAGTCAGAAACATAGCTAGTGTGTACCATAAAGCTCAATGAGAACTTGAGATAGAAAGGCTATTAACAACCAAGATTACAAAATGTACCCTTAAGTGAGGTAGAGAATGTAAAATAGTGACCATTTTCATTCTGAGAACAACAGCAGTGAGAGTTTAAGCACCAAAAAAGCATCACATACCAGCCACATCGACAAAGACTTCACGTTTGTAGCCTTTGTGTCTATACTTGCAGATGAAATACATGAGGCCTCCTGCAAGAAGAATACTTGAAAGTCCAACAACAATTCCAACAATAATCCCAACTTTTGGCTTATGTGAATCCCCTGCAAAATTTTGAGCAGAGAAAAACAAGTTACTTTGGAAAGAGGGCGAACTAGTTTGATTATGCCCTTAATAGCAAGTAATTTTAAGTACCTGAGTCAGTACTATCAGATTCACACCGATTTGGAGGATTCTGACTGCAGTTCAAGTGGTTTCTAGTGAAACTGAAACAAGTGAATAGAAGTGGTCACCATTAGGAATGACAGAGATAGATTCAAATTTAGGAGTAGAAAATCAGTTCTCAGACTTATCCATACTTGTACTTAGGAACTATGAACAAGCGATCTGGAATCGGACCGGACAGATTGTTAGAGTCGAGCAGACTGCAGATATAGTTTTCCAACAATATTAACACGATATTTGAAGAGTCCAAACAAAATAATTAAATCATATCACAAGAAACAAAGGTAATTAAACGAGCCAGATGAATAACAGTCTAGGATTTACATATTTATCAAGTTTTGAAGACCCGAAAGTGATTCAGGGATTGGTCCAGAGAGATTGTTCTGGCTCAATGTCCTGTTCAGATAATAGCAGCATACGAAAATCATACATCAAAGGTCCTGATAATGAGAATGGGATACGATGAGCATAGATTGAAACAATGATAAATTTATTACTCACAGAAACTGGAGCTTCTTAAGATCCCCAAGGGAAGGCGGTATTTCACCAGTTAGACGATTGTTTTCCAAGTCTAAGCTTGTCAAACTTGACATATTCCCAAACTCCTTTGGTATCTCACCAGTTATTCCATTTCCTTTCAGAGTCCTGCAAGATCAAGTCGGATGTAACTGGTCATACTATTGCAGTTACCTTGAATGCCAACTTCAGACGGCATACCAATGAATGCCAATAAGGAGAACCTTCGCACATGCAAGTATGAAATGAGAAATCGTTTGATAAACAGTTTCCCACATGATATTCGAGAAAACACTTCATATGAAGTCCTCACATCTTGGTTTTCTTATATTTATGGCATTTAACTACCTTTTCTTAATCAGATTCGATTAGAACATAAGACCGTTAACATTAGTATTAACTAAGATTATACTTAACGAAAACACAAAAACTTAGATGCTTGACAAGCATAGAATCGTACAGTGATGTATATGATAACAATTATTGTATACCCTCAACTTACAGTGTAGTAAGAGTCTTCAGAGCTCCTATTCTTGGAGACAATGTTCCTGAACAGTTCATACCGGACAAAGTCCTGCAAACAAGTGCATATGCTTTAATAAATAGCCATTTGAGCAACGTGCTGGATGTATTATTTGTTGTTTCTTTTAAACAGCATTAATAATGGGAGAAAAATAGTAATCAAGAATACTCACACTGAAGTGACATAGTTGTTATTGTCGCAAATTACATTTGACCAAGTGCATGGGTTTACTTGATTTGGGTTCCAATCAGTCAATTGGTAGGCTGGAGGTTTAATTGAATTCTTCAAATCATATAGGACATCCCCTGAAACCATCAGGTGAATGTTTAGCATAATCAGAATACAAAGTTCACTAAGTTGACTGGAATCCCTAACAACCCAAATCATAACCACCAGAAGTAAGAAGGTGATAAACTACAGATAACGGAAAGAGGCAAAGAATAAAGATCAGTACCTTGTGTATCTGAGAAGGCACAAGAAAGCAAGCGAGCCAGTACCAAAGCTGCAAGAACTAGTTCCATCTTCGACGATTCTCAACCCAAATGATTAAAATAGTGAGACAGAGGAAGAAAAATGGAGATTGGAGACATAAGCGAGATCCATCTGCAAAGAAAGATTATGGCCTTAGTCAATGATCTTAGCCATAGGAGCAGAAACTAAGAGACAAGGGGTAAAGAACAGAGACACAGCAGCCAGCACAGATCAGTCACTATAAACTCTAACTTACTGATCTAACTAGTCATTGTCAAGTCAGTGACAGAATTGTCATTTCGGGTTCATAAACAAGTTCTAGGCGGAAAGGTCACAAGAAGATGGGCCAACTGAGGGAGCGCAATAATGGTGGACTAGTAGCTTTAGTGGCAGCTAAAATACCACGACTAAAAAGTGGGTAGTTGACTAATCATCACAAGATCGTCTTCAAGTCAATGAATCGGGGTATAGCAATGATATACTGCCTACTGCCTAACCCAATTGGAAACTACCATTGAACATTCTACAACACTTATGAGAACTACTTGAAAACCAAAAATGGAACCATGGAAACCCTCAAATCCAAAGTCGCCTATTCAAGCAGAAGAAAGAAACTCCAGCAAATCCATTCAATTTCATCTTAGAGTACAGCTTCAAAACCAGCCCAGTTAAGGGAAACCGAATTGGAAACAAACGAAAACAACCCATAATATAAAAATTGTGAAACGAAAGCGACAAACAGAAACCACCATTAAAGATTATACCGGAATCGATACCTCGAATGAAGAAAGGAGATGCCTTTGGAGGACGAATCAGCCACCAGAAGAAGAAAAGACGCAGAGTTTAGGGTACAGAGTGAGAAACAGCGGTGTTTGGCAAAGTGGAGGGATCTAAGTAGAGGAATTTGGATTGGAGATTCTACCAATTGGGGTTCAGGAAAGGAAGAAAGAACCGACCAGAGTGAAGGGAAGCTGGAATATTACGACTCTTGTGAGAGCCCATCATAGCCCCATTTCTTTGAAGGGAGCTGGCGTTTCACACTAATATATATAACTATTATAAAGTACAGTGAATCATTCTTTCGAGCTGTCTCTGAGTCTGCCTGCGGCTCTGCGCTCTTCTAAGAATTTTGACAGTGCTCGTTGCTATTCCCTCTCTTGGTAAGACAACAACCAGGGAGTCCAAGACAAGACTCCCGTCTTATTTTTTCTTTAATAAACAAACAAAAGTCCAGTCCCTATCATCTTGGCTCTTGGTATTTTGTTCTTGTTTTCTGAAAATGTCCTTTTGGTTCCTTGCTTTTCTAGAGTGGGGTGATTGGGTGGTTGAACCTACAATTTCACTCACAATCGACCCACTCATTATCATGTGGGTGATTTCTATGGGGTGGATGTGAATTGTAAAATAGGTGACTCACAAGAGATTGGTTGGGAGCGAGTGAACTGTAGTTGACCCACGACACCCAACTTTTTTACATCAAACCATCAAAGCTCTAACATATGTTTTAACAAAATGAAACCCTTAAAATCGCAAAACTTCCTCTTAATTCAATCAAAGAATTGTGTTGTGAGGTGTTGTTAGGCAATTAGACGTACGCCTAAGCATAAATGGTAGACAAATGGCAGAAAAAAGACAATTGACTTCCCCAAAATGACACAATCTCAAACTACCATTGATTCGCCCTTCATTCCTTCCATCTATTTGGGATTGTAATTCGCGATTATAGCTTAAAAAAACAATTTACGGTCACAACTCTTAGGCGAATGAGGCGCTAGGCAAGACCAAAATGTTTGTCTTACGCCTAGTCTTCTTGAACCTTGGTTATTATCATACTTAGACCATGTTTATCACTTGAATATTTTGTACTATGGATAATTACCAATACCGGTATTATAATATAAATTATTCGCCTAATTTATGGATTAAGCGTTATTTAGTTTGCAAATTTCTTTCACGTTCAAAACTATTGAAATCATGTGATCATATGTAATATATGTTGTAAACCCACCGAATCCACCCAACCACCTATCATCCGCAATCACCCAACTCAACCCACCCACATGTAATGCTTGGGGTGGGTGTGGGTCATTTTTTCCTTCCCCCACCACGCAGTGGGGGGTTTCAAACCCAACCAAATCCCCATAAATCCACCCACTACACACCCTTAAGTAAATATTACATGGTCCAAAATGGAATAAGCTGATAAAACGTAAATATTATACTTTCTTTTCTTATAGTAAATATTATATTTTCTTCGAGTTAATCTAATACTCGGGGAATATATTAGGGGTTGGCATATGGTAGGTTTGATCGAAATTAATTTGAACGTGATTAAAATCAAATTAAAAAAAAAACAAAAAATGTTGGCTGGTTCTGAATCAAATTTTACTTTGATTCAACTCATCCGCACTGGATTACAGTCGGATTAGTTTCATCCGAACAATCGATATCTTCCTCACAACACAACCTTTTTCATAAGAAAGATCTTGTTCTTTTTGGGCCTATTCCGTATGATTTTGTTGTTGTGTGCATCATGGTGACTTCCAGGGAGGTCTCCCCAACCATATTAAAAAAAAAAAAAAAAGCGTGGGAGGACGTTGCAGATGTCGGGGATGGACATGAATTCTTCTGTCTCATACGTTTTACTTTACAGTTCTAACAAGAACTCTTTCATTTCTCCACAAAATGTTTCTTGTTAGTTAAAGTTGAATTGTTCCTTGTGAACCATGGATCTCTTCCATGTTTTGTCAATTGAGATTTGCCTAAGGTCTTGCACATACACCCCCCCCCCCCCCCCCCCCCCCCCCCCCCCCCCTCACACACACACACACACTCACATTTGGACGACAACATCCTCATTGAAGTTTGCCTCAGAGAGCCACATGTACCACTTATAACATCCCAACCCTTTTGTTGACCAAGTTATTGTCCACTTTGGGTCTACTCCCGCACGATTTTGCTTTTTGAGATGCATTATGGGGACTTCCCATGGTTGGATTGTTCCTTATAAATCAAGGATCTCTCCTATGTTCTGTCGGTGTGTAATTTGCCTAAGGTGTAACATACATACTCTCTTTGAGACTCAACGCCCTTTTTAGTATGTCCACTATCGTTCAAGGGACGTGGAGAAACTCTTATACCACTTGTAACATCCCAACCATTTTATTGACCAAGTTTTTTTTTTTTTTTTTTTTTTTTGCTTCGAGTCTACCTCTGCATGACTTTGCTTTTGGGGTGCATCATGGTGACTTCCTTAGAGTTCACTCATCTCCGCACTGCTACACATTGAGCACGTTTAACTTCACAGTTCTCACAATAACTCCTACATTTCACCTTGAAGTCGCTCTTGTCAGTTAAGGTTTGATTACTCGTTATAAATTATGGATCTCTCTCATGTTTTGTCGATATGATATTTACCTAAGATGTTACAGCTTCTCCCTCACTTTGTTTTTGTTTCCAAATCCAATTGAAATACTTCTCAATCGATAGTAGAAGTAGGCTATCATGGACTTATGGAGATACAAATCGCGGAGATACAAGAATCGCAAAAAAATTAATTTATTTTTTATTTAAAACAAAGTAAACATAACTTCAACTATACACTACTAACTTTGATCCCCAAGATCCCAAATGCAGATTCTATGAAGAAGATGAGACCAATAGGCTTATGCCAAGTTTTCTACAAGAATATTTCTAAGGTTTTATCTTCTCGATTGAGTCAGGTACTTCCCTCTGTAGTGAGTGATGCGCAAAATGGCTTTGTCAAAGGTAGGGATATCTCTGATAACATACTCATCACCCAGGAAGTTATGCATTTTCTCAAAACAAAGTCACAAGGTAGGGAGAAGTGGATGGCCCTCAAACTGGACATGGAGAAAGCATATGACCGAGTTGAGTGGGGATTTCTATTTGCTGTCATGGAGGCTTTAGGGTTTGATGCTGACTGGATAAAACTAATCAAAGCGTGTGTCACTTCTGTCACATTCTCTGTTCTGTTAAATGGTCACACTCACGGCTATTTCCGGCCTGAACGGGGCATCCGGCAAGGTGATCCGCTCTTGCCTCTCCTCTTTGCCATTTATACTGAAGCATTTTGTAATCTGATTTCGAATGCAATTTCTGCTAATCAGTTACATGGTCTGAAAATCCATCGCTTTGCACCACTAACATCACATTTGCTATTTGCTGATGACACATATTTGTTTTTGCGAGCTTCTGCAACGGAATGCTCACAATTGCTACATCTTCTTAGCTTCTATGAGGCGGCCAGTGGGCAGAAAATCAACCTTCAAAAGTCTAAAGTATGCTTCAGTTCGAATGTTACAGCCCAGGAAGCCGCGGATTTGGCTGCCGTTTTGGGGATTGATTCTATTGGAGAGCTTGACAAATATCTTGGCTTGCCGGCTCATATTCACCGATCCAAGGTTCAGACGTTTCGGTTCCTAGAGGATGGATTAAGTAAGAGGATTCAGAACTGGAAGTCAAATTCTCTCTCTTTGGCGGGGAAAGAAGTCGTGATCAAGGCTATAGGGTCGGTTACCCCAGTATATGCGTTGCTCTCTTTCCGCCTACCAGCTACCACTTGCCGGGGTATGAATGGCCAACTTTCGTGATTTTGGTGGGCAAGTCAAGACAAAGACAGAGGGATTCACTGGATCTCCTGGCCGACCATCTGTGTCAGCAAATTTCGTGGGGGACTTGGATTCAGGGACTTCGACCTCTTCAATATAGCAATGTTGGCAAAGCAAGCTTGGAAGTTGCTGGTTTCCCCATCGTCAACTCTTGCTCAGCTATACAAGGCCCGTTACCATCCTGTGTGTGACTTCCACCATGCACCAACTGGGAATCGACCCTCCTGGGCATGGCAAGGAGTTCTTGAAGGACGTAAGCTGCTACTCAAAGGATTAAGGTGGCAGGTAGGTTGTGGCACAGCCATCAGGATCCTTGATGATCCATGGTTACCTACTTCTCCACCTTCTTCCCCCTCCCTACTCCCAGGTATTACTCTGCCAAACCCTTTTGTGGCTTCTCTCATTAATCCATTGACCCGCTCGTGGAACCAGGAGCTTCTCCATCTATATTTCTCCACAGACAGTGCTAAGTTGATACTCTCCATTCCCATTCCGTTATCACCGAAGCTTGACCGTCTTATTTGGCATTACTCGGAGACTGGGCAGTATATTGTGAAGTCAGGATACCACTTGTTATTAGACGAACGTGCAGCGATGTTCAATACCCTGCCCCCACCTGGATTCTCAGGTTTGGAAAGTACTTTGGAGTTTGCCGGTGCCGCCAAAACTTCGTGTGTTCTTATGGCGGGCTGTGCGTGGATTTCTCCCGTGCTTGGATATCCTACACACTAAATTTCTTAGTGATACTAACGTTTGCCCTGTGTGTTCTGAAGATTTGGAATCCATCTCCCACTGCCTTTTTGACTGTAGGGTTTCTTGGGGTGTTTGGGACTTGGCTGGCAAGACTCCGCTTCGAGTGACATTAGCGGCGCTTCCGGCTGATGTGGCTTGGTCACAAGTGTTGACTTCAATGCGTTTCAGCAAGCTCGAGATGGCTGAGATCGTTTTCATTTCCTGGCGCATCTGGAAAGGCTGTTGCTGGGCATGCTATGATCATGTACAATATCTGCCAGGCCCCCTGTTTCGGCAATTTCGGCAGCAGTAGGAGGAATGGATTGCAGCCACATCCTCCCAGCAGAATGGCGGAACTCCCCAGCATCGCCAGACCCGCGCACTGGTTCCTGCTACGTGCCCCCAGGATGGCCTGCTAATTCGGTTTGATGGAGCAACGCGACAGGACATTGGTGGCAGCATTGGGTTCGTGGGCTTTTCACCGGCAGGGTCGATAACTTGTGCTTACGGTAAGTATTACGACGGTTTATTCGAACCTTTTATATTGGAGCTTCTAGCATTAAGGGATGCAATGGATTGGTGCTTAACTCAGGGTATTTCTTCTGTTTGTTTCTGTGGGGATTCACAACTGGTGATTCGGCGAGTATCGGAGGATGTACATGACCATAATCGTGGCGGGGCGATTCTTGAAGAAATCCGGTTGATGAAAGCATCATTCGCGTTTATTCGTTTTGTTTTTTCTCCCCGTAGAACTAACAGGGCTGCCCATTGCGTGGCGAAAACAGCTCTTGCATTAGCTAATCAGCATTTGGCTGATTTCCGCTATTTACTTTTCATTCCTTGTAATTCCCTATCTATTACATACTACCTAAGACAAAAAAAAACATAGTAAACATAACAACAACGCATCCAACACAAAATTTCTCAAAATCAAACGCATCCAGTTCCCCAAAATCCAACGCATCCAAATCGCCTGTTCTGCCTTCCCGCCGCTGTCGTTCCGCGAAAAAAAAGGTCGCGACGCCGCCTGCTGCTCCCGCTGCGGTGGTTGGCTTTCGATGCAACTTAGGGGTCGTTTGCTTGTTGGATTTGGGTCATGGATTTGGTACCCAAATCCCAAGCTGATGGATTTAATGACATGTTACATAATAGAAAGTTAATAAAGTGTTAAATAAATTATAAATGTCGAATACAATAGGGTTGTTAGTG